TCTGTGTAACTGTCCTTGTTAATGAAATCAGTGACCCACTTTATAGTCAAAATAACTTGTATATGAGAGTTTGTTACTTGAAAAGGATTTTGTTTGATATTCAGAGCTCATTAAGTTGTATGCGAAGTGAAAAGGCTTTGCTTTATATTTCTGTTAGTTATGGTGTACCATCGAATTCCAATTCTCTCAAGTTCTATATTTATTATATTTCGCATTTTTCTTTTTTTTTCATTTCAGCCATAATTTGGTAATATTATCAAATATTATAGGACATACTTATGAATGTTCTATTTGAAATATCTAATTTTTTGATTACAAGAATATTCCAAAGTTCTGTAAATTTACAATTCAGCAAGACAGCTGAATGCTGATGGATGGAATTGAGGGCCATAGCTTGAGGAGTAAAGTTGACATACAAATGTTGTAGCCAAGACCACTAAAAGACATAAGCAAAGCAAGAGGGGAATAGCCAGAAAAAAAATCTAATTTATTAAACCACACAATTTAACTGGAGATAAACAAACATGTGTTGGCACATAAGCCCTTCTTCAAGTCACCTGAAAAAAAAAGGCTTGAGAATGCAACCAGACAAGGACTGTATGCCTGAAAGTTTGTCTGTTTCACCGACTAGGTCAATTAAATGTAATAAAAGTGTTCTTACAAACCTTGCTTTTGTGATATGCAACTGGGGACAGAATGATCTGCACGCAGAAAAGGGAAGACAGAGAATGCATGATTCACCACCGTGCAAGGAGAAAGCAAGTCTTGTCACTGAAGACAGAGAAAAATCAGCTAGTTTCTCACATGCTGTCATAGAGGGTGTGTTGTCCACCAAGAGAAGCAGAAGATCTGCCTGGACACATGCTCACTGGTGGGTTCCTGGATACTCTGGGATGGGACTCTCACTTTCAGGTATAATGGTATAATGTAGGCACTTACCTCTAGGATAGCACTCATAGCTGATGAAATCTTTCACATCCAAATCCTGAAAATTCTTCACTCAGGAAATTCCTTTTAATAACATCTTATGTGTTATATCCTGGAGCAGTTTGAAAATGTTTCCTTTGTAATTATAGTTACAAGGCAAACTATCACAAGAAACTATGTAATGCTACTAAGTTCCTTTTCTCACCTCTGTTTCCCCATTTCCACTCTTGTTCCAGGACCTACCTCCAGGACCTGAAGATTTTTGGGAGTGCCCCCTGATTTGGTAGGCTTCAATCCTACAATCCTCTGGGCAAGCAAAGACAGTTAAGGCACAGCCCTATAATGAGGTACGTATGTGTCATATTTATTAACTTTCGGTAAGACTCCTGTATTCTGGTTATCTCATTTTCTGCACTGGCTAGCAAACAGCCCTTCCCAGAGCTTTTTTTCTTTTGCTCTCCAGAAGATCTGCTGCCTCTTTGTCTCTCTTTTCTGTTGGTACAGCTTTTGAACAGGCCAACATAATGTTGGAATTAATTAGGTTTAAACTTTTGACAAATTAGCTGCAGTCTGATGAAGCTAACATGGTTTTCTGGTCCCAGTTAGGAGCTCATGTTCTACACACTTGATATTTTCCTTAGATTATATGCATAAACTAACTGCTGTCATTTTCCACTTCCTTTTTTCCCCATGTCCTTTATATATTCTAGTAATATTCTGTTTGTTAAACTAGGAGACTTACAATTACTCTTCATGATGGAGACCGACTGTTGTTTTGAATTCTGCCCTTCATTACACAGTGACCATAACACTCTTCAAGAGCTATTTAAAACATTAGGTTTCTGATATCAGTTGGAAATTGATGTCCATTGTCAGAGAAAAGAGAGATAATAAATAATAGGCAAGTAACAGAAACATTACTACGCTCATTATTTACCCCTGATGGAGAACCCGTAATTTTAGCTAGCTGGTTAAAACAATTGTTCCTTAAAATTAAATTTTTAATCTGTTGAGAACACTTTGTTCCCAGGAAAGCATGAATGAGTAGGATTAAATTATATCTGTACTATACTTTTCTTGGTGGTAGGTAATTATATTGTCACTTGTGATACTGTTCATTGCATTTAGCTGCACAGAACTGGGGAGAAACTGTACTAGACATAATGAGAATCTGTGACTATTCACAGCATCATTATACCAGCAAGATAGAGGAGTAAACAAAAAGTGAGAAAAATTTGTATTTGGAACAAAAGTTTTTTTCTTCAAGCAATAATACAAAGTATTTATATTCCGCCCCCGCCGCTAGAATGAGGTGGTAACAGGTGCAGTACCCAGTTCAGGTGAAGCTGCAAACCCAGTTGCTGTATCTGTTGCTTTGTCAAGCAGCCCATCAACCAGTGAAACATTGTTTTTGCTTTTGAAAAGAAGCGGCCCATAATCGTTCCAGCTCTTAGCTCTGGCATTTACAAAAACAGGCTATCCATTTTTCTCATCTCAATTTTGGGATAAATAATTTGAGGTATCTTTACAAAAGGTACAGATTCTAAAACAAGTTTCCATCCTCTGGAAATATAATATATCTGACAACATGATCATCCTCTTCTGCCCATCCATCTTCTTGAAACTCCAAGCACCCAATGTAGTAGTGATTAGTATGTTTGTCTTTAAGATTAACATACCTCTCTTAAACCCAACCTCACTGCCATCAAACATATTTTCTTAATTCAAAAGTACAATTTAATGGCATGTAGAACCCTCTAATGCAAAAGGTTCTGTCCAGATGTGGTTTTTATAAAAAAAAAAAAAAAGAGAGAGAGAGAGAGAAACCAGTTCCTTGGTTTTGGCTGAGAGGCATACCAAGAAAACTGCATCATTGGCATGTTCTGAGAAGTTGATTGAAGTAGGGAACTGCAGTTCAATCTCAAAAGTTCCCTTTGCCTCAAATCATAAATTGATTTCTTTTGTTGCAAAACCTGACAAATGAAGTTAGTTAGCTAAATTTGGAGGGGAATGAGTTACTGTACAGACAGAATAACTATGGCCAAGGAGAAAATGTTCTTTGAAACCAGAGTAGTTCCACAAAGTATTTTGATCTCAGTGAACACTAGGCTCCTGCAAAATATTTTTGATCAGCTCTATCTTCACATCAATAACGTAAGTATTTGCTTCCATTTCTAGTAGATACTCAATTGCCGTTAAATACAGCACCTTGCAGACTTGCTGTGCAAAAGCTTTTAATCCTCTCCTATTTTTTTCATGTGAACTGGTATATATAAAATGATTTCTGCTTTAGGAAATTTATTTTCTCTTAATTACCAGGGTAGCTGTGATGATTGGTGTTTTTAGCACCCCTGCACTCCCATATACCCTTCCTCCCCTGCCCCAAAAAAACCCCAGCAACACCAAACACAGCCTTTTCTCCTCATTCTCTTTATTCTCTTTTGCTTTGTATTGGCAAATTTATCAAATTATAAATCAATAGGCTTTTTACTGTATTATACAAGCGTATGATACTGAAGTTTAAATCTTTAGTGACTGTTGTAAAGTTAGCACATATGGAATAAGAAGATCAACAAAGGAAACTACTTAGATTTTTAAGACTGCAAAAGAACAGAGACAGAAATTACAGAAGTTATTCTTTGCATTATTAAATTGTTGTCATGCTGTCATAAAAAACTCAGTGGTTTTTCAAAGTTTATATTCTAAATGTTTTTGCCTTATCAATGAATCTCTTACACTGCTTCATGTGATGAAGCTTTAAAAATGCTATTGCTATAGAGAAAGAGGTGACAGATTTTTGAGGTTTAAGTTCTTCGAAGTTCCTTGAGTTAAAGCTCCTCAGGGTTTAACTTTCCCAGATTGATGAGCAGCAACGAGGAGGCAGAGATCCTTTCTGGTCCATTCTCACCGTCAGCGTGGTAGCTGGAGCACAGGGAAGCAGAGATGGGCAAAGCACATCCCAGCCAGTGGGGGCAGAACATAGCAACACACTAGCACTGCTGGCGCTGCGATGCTGTGGTGGTGCTGGCACACAGGCATCTTGGCACCTCCTGGTACTGCCTGCCTTCAGAATGCCAGGGGAGGGCAGTGCTAGGGTATTGCTTCCCACTGCTGGCGAATAATAATGCAAAATGTCTTAGCCATGCACAGCCAAAGAGGAAAGGGAAACCCACTCTCTGTATAGTCGGTATTTCTATGCCAGGCACCACATTTGAAATCCAGTGAAAAAGTAAGTTAACACTATACATTTTTATAAAACTCAGAAGGGACTGGAAACAGACTCTACTAAGAACATATGCTTATGTTCTTACACAACAAAATGGCCACAGACAAGCTGATATAGCAGTTTTGTAGAGAAGGAAGAAGGGTCTGCAAGCTTTTACACAAGTGTTAGGTCAATGGAAAATTAAACTTTATCAGATTAAGCTGTAATACAGTATTTTCAGTCAAGAGGAATGAAGTAGGCCATGTGCTCAGGATGGTTAAGATGATAGAGGACTTGCATGAAGGATCTGAGTATCCCTAGATTGCTGCTTGAGGCTTCTGAGCTCCATTTCAACATTACTTGAGCAATCTCACTCCTTAGCCTTTTGTTATGCTTTCAAATTAATTTCTCTGTCACCCTCACATTGTAAAGGTTGTTATAAATATATATACCATCCCAATCAAGCTTAGAATCTTTGATGCCTTCTCAGTGTTGGCCTTCTTGAATTAGTAGATGCTCCGGACTAGGGGACAAAAATATTCAAAACATCTGTTTTAGTTAGAAAAGTTCTCATTCGGTCTACACCTGCCTTCTCTGCTCACATAAGTGTTAGGCAGGTTGCCTTGGGTTGATGAATACAAGTTCTCATGCAACCTCCAGAGCATTACTTAGAGCCACCTCTTTAATGCTGCTGGTTGCACTCCTGTTTCTGCTGCACGATATATATTCAAAGTGCAGCCTGTTTTCTGGAATCATTCACTGCTGGAGTATTGCACTATCAAGTAGGATTTTCTGCCAACAATGTAAAACATACATATTTACACTCAGTTTACACTCACTTTTTGATTTAAAATGCCTACCCTTATGCAGAAGTACAGAAAGCCTCATTTATTGTGCCGAGACAACCTTTTCATACACTTCAAACTTGTACTGGATGCCATTTTCTTCTTGGATATCAGCAGGGACACCAGGGTATCTGGAGAGAAAGGGAAAAAGAAAAGCCAATGAGTAGATAAAAATATCATTATGAGTCACTGGTAATTTATCCAATCAATCAGGAGAATGTTATTTGAAACAGATGAAAATACCATCCTTACCACAGGAATACTGATTGCCTGTCTGTTTTTAGGAATTATGTTAACTACTATGTGAAAGCACCATTTGAAATCAAGAAAGTATACACCAATGTGGAAAAAAAAAGGCCAGTCAATCAGTTAAATAGTCTGATTAAAGCCTTTACCATATTATTTAATATGTCTATAGAGGCAGAAGCAGACACAAACATTTTTGCTTTACACAGATGGTGTAAAGGAAATGCTATTGCTAAAGGCCTCTTACAAGCTCTACAGCTTCAAGCAGGTGATTGTTACCTTGCAAAGTATTTCCTTTTATTCCAGCTTTACTGAAACAGTTTTATTAATAGACATTTTAAAAGTCTCTTCAGCTTGCTGTAACAGAATGAAAGTTCTCAATAAGTAACGCTGATTTTGAGGGAGGAAGAAATTTGCACAGACAGACTTTTCTTAGGTTTCTATTTTAGTGGTGGAAAAAAAAAGTCTGCTTTCATACAAATTAATGTTTTAAGAGCAAATTCTGATTTTAGTTCATTGTCTAAAACCAAACAAGGCATACCTGAGAAAAAACAAAGAGGAGGAGGGGCAGCTTTGAATCAAAGATCAGCATTTTGGAGTAGGTTTATGATAGCACAGAGCTGTTCAGAATATGTTAGAGTTGAAACAGGTGACTCATTCTTCCCACTGATCCTGCTTGTCTCTCCAGCATATTTCATTTTGCACCCCTGCCTTCTCTCTCTCACTTCAATGCTAATTCACTCTGGTGTCATGGGGTTGCAGGCAGAGAACCTGGCTTGCTTTTATATTTCTTTCATTGCTGATCTGTAACTAGCTGGGAGGAAAAAAATGGGAGCAGCCAGAAAAGGAAGAGTTTCTTTCCTTCTGCTTGTTCTTAAGGCAGAAATTCTTTTGAATTTGTTTACTACCACACCGCTACCCCTTGGATGTAATCTCCTTGGAGAGAACACAAATGGGTGGAATATGATAACGGCAATATGAAAAGAAACCAAAATGAATGGTAGAAACTTAGAATTTAATACTGGTTCTTACAAAACATTCTAGGAAGAGGCAATTTGCTTAAGAGACAGAATTGAACTTTAAAAAAAATGTACAAGCTCAATTCATTCTGTTCAAACCCATCTAGTTTGTCTTTGACAATTCAAAGACATTCACAAAGACTAGTATAACCTACTGACTGATATTATATTGGCAATTATGAATCTTAGTAAGTATTTAAGTAATTTTAAAGTGAGAAACTATACAAAAGGTGCTTTGCTGGCAAATTGACGTGTCCTTTGTCAAGGTTACAGGTAGGTTGAAGAAATGCAACAAGGTTTAAAACTCTTCCCCTTTGGAGTGCTCTAAGTGGGCAAATTCCAGATTCTATGTAAAATGTGACCCTGGGGAAAAAACATTCAGAGTAAATTATGAATTCTGCCATTTGCACACAAGACACTTATGCATCTTGATGCTTACTCTGGGAGAAGTTTGTAGTCATTGAAGTCAATTTCTGGAAAAAAGGTGTCGCTTTCAAATTCCTGCAGAATTCTTGTCACAAACAATCGATGATTAATTGGTTTCTCCATTGCTGCCTTTAAAAATAAAAGAAAGGATTAAAAAATGAGTTCTTCACTGTAAAACAGCTCAAATATTCATGAAGTATTATTCTTGTTACTGACATTTTGATATTGTATTGTAAGACAACATCGATGTTAAATGAGATCTGACATGCTAGTTTTCTTTACTACTTCTCCAAATTCAAGCTCTATCTACAGCCACTGCAGCATTCAAAAAGAACCATGAGATAAGACCCTTCAGACACTGTTTTTTCCCTTCAAGTACTACTCTCTCTTGCCTTGTCCAATTCACCCTATGAATTTCACCACCTTTTTTTGGTAATGGAAATATGATCTGGGATGCAAAGTGCTGATCTGATAGAATTCTGAAGTACTTAGTCTGAGTTTAATGAAGGAATGATGCAATACGTATATTTATTCTATTGAACACAGTAAGGCAAATGTTACTTAGTTTTAACATAACATACAGAAAATAATGGTATAGAATATGCGAGTAGATCTTGAGCATTTAAATAGAACATGCAGCAACTAATTCCAGTTCCAATTATGATGCAATGCTGTGATAAGCTAGTATAATACCCAACAGACAACTGATTTCCAGCAAGCAGAAAATGAGCTTAGTAATACTAAACTAATATTTTTGTTTTTCTTCTGTTAGCCACTTAATTCTCCTAGGATTCTATTTGCACAGGTGCTGGCTTCCCTGGGACAGGTATACCCACTCGCTCTGCTTACAGGCTTCCCTGCTTACATAGCAGCTACCGAGCTAATAGACCAGGGAAACAGCCTAACAGTCTAGGGAAAAGCAAATCTGATTTTAGTTCTCTTTAGAGCACAGAATGTCCAAACTGTGGCCGTTGAACTGTTCCTCCAGAAACAGCACAATCACTTGTCCAACCAGAGGAGATTTCACAAGAGAAGAAGGATGGAGAGCTGGGGCGGCAGGACCCCTCCTCTTATCCTAGGTAAGTCACCCTCTGCATGAGTTGGAGTTCTTCATTACACAGGGATCTTCGGTGCACTCTGGTCTTTTTGCTGTCTTCCAAGCACCCCTCAGTAAGCCTGTCTCTGAAGCAACAAGGAGGTGACCTAGCGATTACCTTCCTCACAATCTCCAACCATATTGGCCTGACAGCCACATAAAATATTACATCTGCATTTATAGGACCATCACCTTGGGGAATGCAGGTTAGAATGTAGAATGCAGGTTCAAACATACCCCAAGTTCTGCAGCAAACAGAACTCTGACAGTGATTGCACAGTACAAGCAGTCTAAGAAGTACAAAATAGAAAACTAATCTTTTATAGGTTTATTACCAAATCACTGTAATCTAGCAGACACAACAACCAATGGCTGCAGAAGGGACAAATTACCTTTCATCATTTAAAGATTCTCAGGTTTTAGAAGTAAGACACAGTACTCCTACCTATCCATCTTCTACTGATTACATAAAATAAATACAATAGACAAAGCAACCATCTGAGGCACTTACTTTTCAAGTGTCTTTCGGACACTAGACAACAGCATTGATGATCCAAACAAAATAGAAGAGCACAATAAAGGAAAAAAAATCCAGAGAAACATTCTTTTGACTTGCATTTGGTTTTCAAGATGTATTAAATTAAAATGTATTTGGATCACTTATGCAAACTGTATTTTGAAAGCACAAGCATATTAAAGTAATTATTTTATATATAAAATGGTCATGGTCTCTTTTCAGTGGTGGCCACTGATAGGACTAGAGGAAATGGCCGGAAACTGAAACATCAAAAATTCCATAGGAACTTAAGGAAAAATTTCTTAACAGTGAGGGTGACAGAGCACTGGAACAGGCTGCCCAGAGAGGTTGTGGAGTCTCCTTCTCTGGAGATCTTCAAAACCCGCTTGGATGCAGTCCTGTGCCACGTGCTTTAGGTGTCCCTGCGTATGCAGGGGGGTTGGACTAGATGATCTCTAGAGGTCCCTTCCAACCCTAAGCATTCTATGATTCTATGATTCTATGATTCTATACAAAAATCTGAAGGTTAGAAGTCTCACAAAGTTTTAGATCAGTTAAATGCAAATTAGCAGCTTTGAAAAACTCCTTCCCAAGCTGCTAAAGCGAAATTCGGGATGGATGGAATATTGTGATAGATCCCATTACCAGTTCTCTGCCAGAGAAAAAGGCAGGTGCAGCAACTGTCAATTAATTGCACCTTCCACAACCAAAATTTCCATCAGCCTTACTGAAATCCCTGTCCATACAGAAATAGTGACACTTTACTCACTAGACTTTCCTGTGTATTACTTGGCCTTTTAAGCCCTTTCCTTTGCTATTAACTCATCATGAACTTAAAAAGCAACAGCCTTTCATAGCTGCATGATTTGTGACTGCAACTCTGATTCATACGTTAACCTTTTCTAGTAATTATTTTTTCCAAAGGAATGTCAAATCAATATGTTTGTTCATAAGAACAAGGACACTCAGCTTAGTTAAGAGTAACAGGAATACTTTATCTTCCCTTCCTATGTGAAAAAATCCTCTGATTTTATTTTGAAGAACATACTGGAAAGCCTAATCATGTCCTTATCAAATGTGCAGAAATATGAAGATACTGTTTTAAAACCTATCTAGAAGGATCTTAGTTAGACCTGTACATCACAGAGTTCTTTACCTTTTAAAAGGAATTATTAGTTAAACCCACTTGTCCATTGCTAATACTGTAGTTCTGCTTCATCTAATCTTAATTTAGACTAGGCAAGAACAAAAAACATTGGCCTCCTAAGGCATAAAATACATTAATTATGTATTTTAGTTGTAAAAATACATCTATTTGTACAATACAATAATTTTTGTGAGGGTAAGAACAGGAGGTTGCAGTGCTATTAACAGTAATGCTGTGATCCTGACACTTCTATATAAAAAAGATGCTACAGAATTGCATTAGGATGACTCTAATCCTTGCTCAGAAGGGACTCCTCTGTTGCTAAAGGGACATAGGAAGAGAGGCCAAATTTTCTTCCCACTGCTGTCTTCCTTATTAGACAACTACACACAACTAAGTGTGTAAAGTGTGTGTAAAGAAGGGTGAAAATTCTTCCATAAATGAAGCCAAATGGCACAGCAATAATAAAATATAAGCATCCCATTTGCTTATATGCTGGGAAGAGAGCAATCTTCCTTGGATACACAAGCGCTTAGGACCATCTACACTTGCCTAATAAGTCTGAATCTGGTGAAATAACAACCAACAACCTACCCTCTGTGATGCCACCAGAACGATCACTGTTGTGGGCTTCATCAGCTACGCTCCACGAGAGCGGCAGCGCTGCCAACCCACAGGAGTACAGCGGGTGAGTGCGGAAAAATGAGCTTGCTGCCCAGCTCTCATGACTGGATCTCAGCAACACATACATGTCAGGCTCCAGTCCTACAAGTACATAGTTTAAAAGCATTTTGTCTTACATGCAGGGAAGAGAGAGAAAATTCTACCTCTTTTATAACTTACAGGGAATTCATACATTATAAGTAAAATGTAATCTTTAAAAAATATATCAAGTATTAGCTGGTAAAGTTTTGGCAACCTTGGGAAAAAAAAAACAACAAAGCTAGGATGGAAGTTATTAATACTTCTCTCTTAAAGGGGTCAACCTTATAGCAAAGATTTGAGACTTGGCAAATGCAGCATTCAAAAGCCACTCAGCTTATTCATAACCTAGTGAGCCTTATATGCTCAGTCAATAAATTCTAGTTTTCTAGATAAGGGGTAATTAATCATTTGCAAGATACTTGCTGCAGTAAATATGAATAGCCACTTTATAATTCAGTAAATCTGAAGAATGAAAGGGAATAGAAGATTACCAAACACAAAAACACCTGAAAATTAGATAACGCATGACAATTAGATACATTTTTCACTTGGAGATCACTGGAAATTTAATTTTCCAGCTCACATCTCTTTGAAGAATTTCCCCAAATGTTGTTTATCAAAAGCATCTATTTTCTGTTATGCCTAGCCTAGATAATAACTAAAGAGCAAAAAATGATGAAACTTATGAAAGAAAAAGAGTTTGTTCTTGTTATGAAATTACAAGTTTGTTCTCCAAATGTGTCCAAATGAATCCAATTCTGTACTTCAGCAATGTGACCTTGAATGTCCCTGTTTGCTTCTGTGGCACTGAGAAAGCAACAATTTGAGTACAAACATATAAAATAGAAGTGACATTTAAAAATGTCTGATATGTGCTTTATCCAGGTTGTTGATACAGCCTGTTTTAATGCTACTAAAGAGGCCTTGATTATGAGGACCTGAGTCATGCCATGTATATATATATATATATATTTAAAAGTTTTGTTGCATGTTTTTTTTTTTTTCCACTGGTTAAGTTCACTCCCGCTAAGGATCTGTGCCTGCTAATTCTTACAAAACAAGATTTATATTAACACTCAGCATACAATATTACTGTAAGAGCATTCCATCCACACAGGTACACCTGGGCCTGTTTTTAAAAAGAGGCCATCGTAAAGCCTCTGTTCATTATTTGGGGATGTGACTAGACGTTCAGTTCCAATTCACAGTAAAATCTAATGGTTGTTTTGATCTGTTATCTACTCTATCTCTACTAACACGCAGTTTAAACAACGCTGGCATAATTTATATTCTCCAGACTTCCTTAAGTTCTTCCAGGTAGCACTGTTTTCACAATTAAAGCCAAGATCTGAACCTCTCCATTAAGAGACAGTACCGTCATACTGCGTATACCTACTTGTCTGTCTTAGCTCAGGTCAGAAATGTGGTTTTGAAGTGAATCTTCTAGTTGTCCCCGCTTTGCTTGCAGTGGGGAGCAATCTTAGTGTGCATGAACTGAATTTCTTTGGGATGAAACCAAATGAAAAATCTGTTCCAGGATATCTATTCTGATATGCTCCAACTGTTGATAGGGACTCAATGGACAGAAAAAATGAGTGAGTCACAGCACTACAAGTTTTCCAGCACATAGCAACTACTGAAAAACCTCTCAGAAGTAGCAGAACCTCAAGGGCTCCTGCAACATTGTACAGTGACCCTCACATTGCCTAACACCTTCATACTGGCTGTGATCTACTGGCCTTCTCTGGGCCCTTCTATTTCTTCATTCTCATGCAGAATGCAGATGCATAATCAGTAGTAATGTCAGCTCCTCCAAGTCAGCAGATCCAGTAGAGCACACATGGTGTCATACTGGGATTCAAGGATTCTGCTTCTAAATCTGTGCAGTAAGAAGTCCAGAAACTTCCTTGCAGTCAAGATTATTACTTTGCAGCTGCAGCACAAGATTCCAATCTTCATGAGGTGAGTGGTATCATATGAAATTTAAGAAGATGAAGGTTGCCTTTAGGTAAATCTCAGACAATAACCAGCTTCAAAAGCTCACCCTTGAGGGCACCTTGAAGCTGAAGGAGATTATTGAACCAGTACACACAGTCCTGTATTCAATGGACTGTCATTTTCCATCCTTTCTGCTCTTACTTCCTCACACCAATATTCTGCTCAGCCCTCCCTGTCCCCTACCAAAATTCCTACCATGTCTAGCTGCTGTGCCTTCCCTGGGCCAGCAAGGTCCCAAGTGAGGCAGTCTCCTCCAGTGTGCTGTTGAACGAGGCATGAAGGCAACCTGTCAGTGGATTTTGCCTTGACAGAGTTTTCCTTCCTCTGTTCTTTAAGTTTCTTAAGAGAGAAATAAGCTTATGCCAGTACTTTCCATGACTCTGGAGAAAACTGTGCTTGAGAATCTAGGAGCTGTGGGCAAGAGGGCCCTAAGTAACAGACAGCTGCACTGTAGGTGTTCTGAGACTGGCAGGCTCACTCCTCAAGGCAGAGTAAAGGCAGGAATTCTGGAAGAGATGTCTGGCAGTGGCGGGGCTGTATGCAGACTCTTGGCACAGCCTCAGCTCTGCACCTTTGCATCTGCTACGTTCACTGATTCTCCAGAATCCCCAGAACAAGGTGCTCCTACCAGCCTGAGTTCACCTCCTGTGCCAAGGACAAGATGAGCAGAGCACCTGCAGTGGTGAAGACTAAAAATGGCATTATCCCGTGTTTCTATTCAGCCCTCGAGGAGTCTGCAGCAGTCTGTGACAAGCAGGGAGTCCTCCCAAAACAAGTGCCATGAGCACATGCGTGAGCTTGCTGTTCCCTCTCCACTGCACTCTTGTGTGACCACGCTCAAATGCAAAAGAGGATTTACTCAGAAGGCATCACAGTGTTACTGGGGATGAGAAGGAACAGAAGCAAGACAGGTACAGCATCAGGAACAGGAAAGGCTTGATGGTGGTTGGGGCAGAGACCCTCACCTGCAGGAGACTGCTTAAAGTAAAGTAGGATGCTTTCCAGGTGACCTGCCTTCCTCATCAAAGTTTGTCCTCCTAAAGGACTTTGGTTTCCAATCCTCAAAGTGCTAACAGTGAAAATGTCCTGTACTCAGCACTATCTGTTTCAAATCACTCCAGCTGCACCTACTTGATAAAGTAGTTACAGCCACTTTCTCCCTAACAGGTTTATATCAAATAAACATAGTCTGTTCTAAACCTTTCAACCATACAAAGCAGTAAGATTAAAATAAGGCTTTAAATGTAAATACCTGTAAATACTGAATAAAATGCTTCAGTTGGTATTCAGTTGGTATTTTACTTCTACATTACTACATGGTGTAGTGGTAATATTCCAGTAATCCTTTGTGCAACTTTAATACTAACACTAAATATATCATTGGCAGTTTTGATAAAGTGGCACGGCTTCCATCAAACCCTTTTAATTAAGATCATAATGCTAGTTTAAGTGCAATAATCTGTACAAAACTGACATATTTCTTCTTGGTGAATTAAAAACTCATTTAAAACATCTTGATGAGAAGCTTGAAGGAGGGAAAACAGTTAAAATTTAAGTCAGATTCCTTATGCTAACCAGCACAGCAATACATTGCAAAAACTATTTTGATCAAGACCATATACTTATAATCTTTCTAAGTCCTGGTGAGTAATGGTCTTAAAAATGACAGTTTTCTATGAAAAAAAGAAAAATAATGAAATTAGAAGCCTAAGATACAGAATTTTCTGTAACAGCAAGCAAAAATTATCAGTCTTTGGAGCACTAGATGACTGTGCAGGCCTAGGAGGCAATTGTTTTTGCTCACGCTGTGTATCCTGCAGAACTGCAGACTATTAAGCAGAAGCCTAATCCAATCTCTTACTCGTGTTTGACAGCTATGCCTAATCTGAAGAGAATCTGCCTCCAAAAATAAATATGTCACTTCGCACCAGGAAGCAGACAGAAGCAGCAGAATAAAGTACAGGCTATTTCTTTATGATAATACCCAATTATCATCGAGCGGATTTGGACATCACATGCACGGTAAGAAGACTTCACCACATGTAAAAGGGATTACAGCACTACAAATTAAAAAAAAAAAAAAAAAAAAAAAGGACTGTTTTATAGACACATTCCCTAGGTTATAGAGATTCATGAAACATAGCTCTCTACAAGGTGTAGATTAGGCAAGGAACATAGGAACAGTATTTTACCACTCTAAGACTTGACCTATTGGTATCACTGGAGTTTGCTGAGTCATAATGAGGGAAAAGTTTGTCTCTGAACCTCCTAAAGCAGGTGGAACAGGGATCTGAGCCATCTTGAGACGGCTAGTCATTTACAGTATTCACTCTAAAGGTACCTTATACACTGAAGTGCCTCCGACAATCCAAACCATGTCAACTTTACTTTTTAATTCTGGTGAATCCAGAAGAGCTAAAGCATCATCCAGACTTTTGGAGAGATAATGTGCTCCCTTTGGGAGTTCCCTAGAAAAAGAAAGTTTTATTATTTAACTTAAAGTACAGTCATCATGATAATCAATACACATAGACACACAATGTATATTGCTGAATTTACAAGTTACTGAATTTTTCACAATAGTTTACTGTTTTGAAATGCCTGTCATGCTAGAATTCTAATCTGACTGCAGGATGCTTAATAAATTACCCCAACACTTTCCAAAATAATAAAGTACTATAGCAAACATTTTTTATTTAAGAATGTTTGTATGATTGTGAGTGGTGCATCAGAAGAAAGCTCTGAAAAAAATGTTCTTTTCCCTTAAATGCTGATAAAAGTTAGCCTCAAGAAAAGTGGATAATGAAGTCAGTAACCAGAAACTAGAGAAACAGAATTAAATACAAGAGTCATAAGGACTAAGACATGATGGCTTTTATGTAGATCCAGGGCTAGCATTTATTTTATGCAAAGAAGAATATAGTAATGATATCACTCAGAAACAACTGGAGAGAGATTTTCTAAACAGATTTTAAAAGATTACATTTAGAATTACTTTATAAAAAAGTCACGGTATCCATATTTTTTAGTTTAGATTTGTGATTTGTTTTACAGGCTCATAACTCTTCTCATACATACTTGAGTTCTCTGCTGAGCACTATATTAATTCTGTCTTTTAAAGGGCGATTCTTCTCCGGAATGGAAAACCAGGTTTTTTTACCCATTATCACTGCATTCTGTTTACCTGAATGAGAGAGAAAACACTCATTTAAACAGAACTTCTTCTCTGCACTAAACTTGTTGTTTTGGTAGTTTAGTGACATCTACTGGACTTTACCTCCTCTTTCTGAGCTCAGTTTCAGCAGTTAGCAAAAGAAAGAGCTGGGGCTCTGATTCCAAAGTTATTCACGTGCTGGAGAACCTAGGTGGGCAGCCGACACCAAACCAGTCTCTTGCACAGCTGTACCCTCTTAGCTGAAGGGGCACTGAGAGGCGCTGCCACTGGCTCAGCTCTAACTATGGGGACAAATTCATCCCAGTGCACGAGATCAACTCCCATCCTCCAAGCACAGAATTAGAGCAGCTTAAGGATGAGTGAAACAGTAAAGCCAGGATAAAACAGAAAGCAAGGGGAAAGGCAGCCAGAGGTGGCTGTTCTGCTGTGGGAAGTACCCAGACCAAATTTGCCGATCATCCCACCTCTTCTGTTGCTTACGTGATTCCCACAGGGGTTGGATGTTTGCTTTTTGACAGTGCAGAAACAGGTTTTATCCCGCCAAATCAATGGCAGCCATGACACTGCTTTGTTGCAAAGGTTGCATGGAGCCCGAGAAGCGTTGCTGCGCGCACGGCGAGATGCCGGCGCGGCTCCCCAGCACCGCTCGGCTCCCCAGCACACACACACCATGGCGCTGGCACCAGGGCCACAGCGGGAACCCGTGGCACGCACAACAGTTAGGCAAGCTAGCGCAGACTGGGAAAGACCTGTTAACAAACTAACACACGGAACACTCATTCATTTTGTAACTTGTTCAGTTACAAAACTGAGAACTACTGGAGCTGTAGGTAGAGATGCTGTTTTATAGTTCCTAGAGATGCTGTTTTCTAGTCCCTTCGGAGTCAGAGCTTCGAACTTGTTTGTTTGCAAAGTAACTGCAGGAAAGAAACACATGATTCATCTCCAATTTCTTCCTCTAACTTAACTGGCAGCTTATATGTTTGCAAAGGGACTAGGTATTTTTTAGACTTTTAGCTTAAAACAAAACAAAAACCACACTCCTTCATTTATATGAAAACTCAGTTTTGTTTAAAACATGAAATATGAATATAAATAACAATGCATTATATAATAATTACATGTAAATATAGAATGATTATCGTTATATATTGTCAGATTTTACTAATGAGCAGGCAGAAACAAATGGGCAATGTTTATGAGGCTCGGGAGGGGGAGAAGGGCAGCCTGCCTGGAGAAGCTGGACTTTGACATTTGGTAAAAAGTAAGTTACAGCTCTACCCTGTGACTGATGCAAGGGGAGCTCAGTTTAAGAGCGTGCGTACTAAGGCAGCAAGTACAACATTACCTTCCACGCGGGATGTGCTAGTCATTCTCTGGAAATACTTAAACTCATTCCTAGAAAACAAAGCACGAAAAAAAAAGAGCGTTCGGTGTGAATACTTTTTATTTGCCTCTTTACAGAAAAGGTAACACAGCGGGGGGGGAGCCCATGGGCCTGGCCCGGCCGCAAGCGGCACCTCCCGGGCGGCACCGGCGCCC